CAAAAAGCCTCGTACCAAAACACACACACACGTGGGAACCAGGCAAAGTAGCAGGATGACCAAAATTAGCTCCACATTTCCTTAGACACTTGGTGTATTAGTTAGAAAAATATTCTGGTAAGAAGACTTCCAAGAACTACACTTGTACAATTTGAGGCAGTTAAATGTGCCAATAAGCACTACTTTAAATTTGGGAAGTCATCTCAAGCAAGCTATTAGATGTTGATATTCAAGGACAAGTAAGAATTGATCTCAGAAAGTTTATCTGTTTGACTAAAATTGTTAGAAGCAAACAAAATTGTTCATTTGATTACTCATCTAGATGATGCTTTGTTGGGTGGATAACAGATTAATATAAGAAAACAGAAAAGAGAATTAGACTGTCCAATCAACCCAAAAGCACCAAAAAGTGATCATGACTTGATGTGAATGATGATTAAATTAAACTAGAGAGATTAATCACACTTCGTTCGAAAAACTGAATCTGAATTTTGAAGTCTGAATTCTGAAATCTGAATATTGAAACAATTAATTTGCTGAATTTTAAGCACTGAAAAAATATGAACGTCTGAATTTTAATGTTAAACCTATTTATACTGGCTTGATAAATTTATTTAGCTGAATGCTTAATAAGTTTAATTTGACAATTTTGCCCTTATATCCTTTCATTCAAAAAAGAATAGAATCTATGATTTAATTAGTTTTAAAATTGTTAAGTACGAAAATGACAATATTTATTTTTAAATCAAATTAATATAAAAGATGAAATATTACTATATGAGAATATGGAGAAGATGTGAAAGTCATTAAAAAGGGAGAAAAGAGAAACTAAAAATCGTTAGATAGAAGAATATTACGTTATTTAATTAAATAAGAAATTTTGAACATAATAACAAATAAGAGTAGATTTGGCAGATAAGATAAGGTAGGTTGAAGTAATTTTATTGATTCTTATCAGAATTAAGCATTCAGTTAGATTCTTGTGCTGAAAAAAATACACACAGGTTCAGCACTGCTTAACAAGTTCAGCAAATAGATTTTCATTTCTTCAAACACTCAAAACAATCTGAATGTTTTGAAAAAAATTCAAATTTAGCATTTTTTTATGTTATCAAACAGACCCCCCAATACTTAAAACAAGCACTACGTACTGATATAATTTGAAATCACGTTCGCTTGTCTTTTAAATTCCTCCAACGAAAATAATGGAATTTTTAAAAAACTAAAGGCTGCCACAATTGACCAAATTCGTTTCATGACCCAATTTTTGTTTTTTCTTCTCGGCTTCCACACAGATTTTACTTATTTGCTGCTAAAACCTCCCTCCCTTCCTCTGATCTCAGAAAACTTGATCTTAATTCCAATTTTAAGCAAGAAAAAAATGGCTGCTGCTGCTGCTGCTGCTGATGATGATATAACTAGTGATTTTGTGTTTTGGAAATTGTGTATTTGGATGATACTGCCTGGGTTGCCTTTTGGTGAAATGTAGGGATGCAAGGTCTCATGCAGCAGTCCACACTCCTAGTGCCCCATAACAACTTACATGTGCCTAAGTTCTTGTGGTAACATATGATTTATATACTAGAAGCATTTACTGAATTTGCAATGAATTGACTTTGGCATACAAAATTTAATTACTCAAATTTGCCAGGAAACCATTTTCCTACCCCAACACTGATTGTGGATCATGCATGGGGTAAATCATGTACACCTCTGACACAATGAATGTACAACATCAGCATGAACTTAATTGGGTTGTAATGAATGTCAAGGTTAATCTTCGCCACAAATAGTCTCAAGCTATTAAACCTAATAATAATTGAGACCTCTTAAATCCATTCAAGTTACTCTTTCTCAGCTTCCTTAGTCCAACAATTTAACAAAAATAGGGAATTTTTATTAATGCCTCCTTTTGTGATAGGATTAAAAAAAATGCATTGTTCAAGTTTTTTTTTTTAGTATAAGTGGAAGATCTCGAATTCAGGACTTCTCACTTACATTTTCTCTTCCCATACCGCCCAACCCTTCCTCTCCTCCCAAAAGATTATTCTTTTTTTTTTTTTAAATGTAAGTAGGAGGTGTCGAACTCGAGAGCCATTCTCATTTGCATTATTCAGGTTATTCTAAACCAATGCTCATTCATTACAATTTCTTTTAAACACACTAGGGTGTAGAATGGGGATGACATATTAATCCCCTATGATATTGGACTCAACATTCTTGATTATGTAAAGTTTAAGGTCTCAATTCTTAAGGATATTTACAAATTAAACAAAGCAAATTAATACTCCTCTTGTCTGAAAATTGGGACATTTTTGCGAGTAGCACTTTTTATGCAGTAAAACTGTGAGCTGCAATTTTCAGATTCTTCCGGTCTTATCCACGTTTGAATATGGAGACCAGCCAAATAAATACAAGGTCATAGGCATTCTGAAAGTGTGCATGTGTTATGGTTGGCCGTATGGAATTGTTTATTGTTAATTGATGGAATTTTATCATTATAAGTGAAGGGCGTAAAAGAAAATCAGCATTGAAATTTTTTGACTTTTGTTATGAAACTCTTATTTTGGGATAGCCAAAAGGTAAAAACATAAATTAGTGTGTTTGGATAGGAAATTACTTGAAATATTATTTGGAATAATTACTGTAACACTTTTTGTGATATGATATATATGAGATTAAAAGGTAATTGAAAAGATAAAAAGGTGTATTGGAAATTATGTTTGTGCTACAACCAAATAATTTGGAGCCAAATAATGACTATGCAAACAACATTAACAATGGACAGAGGGAGTAGAAGTTTCAATAATTCAATGATCATTATTTAATTCAAAAAATAAAAGTTCGATTAACTTGAGATCACAAGCTTGATTTTTGAGACCCTGAGGAGACTATCATTGTGCATCTCTATTTTGAACCAAGAAACGAAATAGCTAGTCTTAAAAGAAGAGGTGTGTTTTTTTTAAGTGATGATAAAATAAACTCAAGTGGGCAAAGTGCAACTTATCCCTAATAACATTGGAGATTAGTGCTGATTGACCCTTTACTTTATTTCAATTTGATTTCAAGGAGCCAAAAACTGTTTCAATTTGTCACAAGTTGTGATTCTTTTATCATTCAAAAACGCATGAGCACCTGGAAACTCCAAGCAGGGGTGTTACTGGAACATAAACCCAAATCATTTAAGATTCTTGCATTATTGAAAATATAAATGCAGAGATCCTGAAATGCGGCAAAAATTTCGGAAGGAAGGGAGTATTTTAATTGAGTCAAGTCCATATTCCTATGTTTAATTGGTGTGTATTTATATCATTAGCAGTTAGCAATTGTTCGTTTGTACAAATTTTTTCCCTCTACTGATTAATCCTTTTTGCCTCAATAGGACTATTTTGCACTATTGAGTTTGTGGAGGGAAAATAATCAGTGATGATTTTGCACTAATCTATTATGAAAGTGAAAAAACCTTTCAAAAGTTTTTAATGGAAAAAAAAATATGTGTTTTAATTTTAAAATAACAAAATGCAATACAAAGTACCAAAATTCTATTAAGAAATCATCATTATATTTGAGTATACATGCAAAACTGATGGAAATTATAATATTACTCCCTCTGCTCCAAATTATTCGTTGCATTTTGGGATTCAAAATTTTTTTAAGAATAGTAAATAACTTGACGGCGATGTTAGGGGATTCGTTTCTAAACTTGTTCTCGAAAATTCAAATTTTAAATTTGAATTTAGTGCCAAATATTGATAAATGTGAAAATTACATTGTAAAAAAGAGATCAAAAGTAAATTTGAGTTTAATAAAATGACAAATATTTTGAGAAATTTTAAAATAAAAAAGTATGACATTTTAGTAAAAATAAAACCGATAAGAGAGAAACTATAAGATGATGAGTTAGAAGTTAAGCCAATTTTATATTAGTACCTGCTCTCTTACTGCATTGTGACAAGGAGGAATCAGAGAGCCCGCTGTTTTAGCCAATAAGAAATGCGAGTCAAGTTGCAGGTTGGCTCACATATGCATGCAAGGTTTAACAATTGCTAAAAGGTTCTCACCAATTAAGTTCTGTGTTTTCAGTTGTAAAAGTCGTGCCTTTCGCCTTCCTTAATTTTTCAACTACCTAAATTTTCATCTGTTTTTCAATGATTTCGTGCTCAGGAATTACTCCAATGTTTTTCTGATTAAGCTTGGAGAGCATTGTGCTAATTTTGAGAGTGCTTATGTGTGGAGGTTATTTTGAAAGCAAGGTAAAAAAGCTTGATGCCATTGCCTAATGCTTTAAACTTCAAAATGCAAAACAGGGGACCCCTTCTTTTTTCTAGTTTCATTCAAACACAAAAGCGCTTGATGGACCTGGCTTCATTGAATACTTAACCAAAATCTGTATCATCGCCACTTGATCATCAGTCAGATGTTGATACTTTATGGGAAGCTCACATAATTCTACTGCTGTGCCTCAACGTGAAGCTGAAAAATCTGCCTCCATCTCTTGTGAAGTGATTTCATGAGAAGCTGACGATTCTGCTTCTGGTTCTTAATCTCTTACGTGCCTTCGTGTGAAGGAGACAACTCTGTTTCTACCTCTGTGAAGCTAACAAATCAACTTCTTGACCTGCTCTTAAAAGAAAATAACTGTAATCAGGAACACGGTCATATGCAGCTGTGATCCGTAAATCACGGGCATGTCTGCTGGAGCCGTGCTTTCCAAAGCCTTAATATTACTCTTATGACTTTTGAGAGAACGTGCAGCTGCTAGAGCTGTGATCCGTAAATAACGGACACCTGTCAGGAGTGACGATAGAGCGTGCAGACTGTGCAGTGGAGAAATTTGGAAGTTGAGTTGCAAATTTCATTCCCCCAAGTTTTAGCCTCCGCTGGTTTTGCTCTTTGCTGCTGAAGTTGAACCATATCCTTCCTTGTCTCATCGCAGAAAGCATCCCCCCATCACCACTGCAGAACACTTTCATCCTAATTCCAATCCCAAGCGAGAAAAAATGGCTGATGCTCCTGTTAGTGCTATTATTCAGGTTGCATTGCAGGCGGTTGTTTCCCTTGCCGCTAATCATGTTAATCTGGTTCGTGAATTCCCAGAGGAGCTGAAGAAACTCGACAAATCTGCTGCAAGGATCCGAGGCTTCTTGGCTGGTGCCGACGAGGACAAGCATAGCCCAGTGGTGCAAAAATGGCTCAAGGATCTGGAAGAAGAGGTTATCAACGCTGACAATGTGCTGGACGAGCTCAACTATGAAATTCTTCGTCGGAAGGTGAAGTATCAAAATCAACTCACGAAAAAGAAGGTATTCTTCTGCTTTTCATTCTTTAATAAAATTGGTTTTCGTTGGAGGTTGGGTTCAATGATCAGGGGGGTCAACGCGAACCTTGAAAGGATCCATCGGGATGCCGGACGTTTGGGACTGCCCTACCTCCAAGTTGAAGAAGCATTCGCTACTATTGCTGCAGGAGCCACAACAAGCCGACAGACCGACTCTACTATTGTGCGAAGAGATGTCATAGGAAGAGACGAGGATGAATCAGAAATAGTTAAGAAGTTGTTGACCGAATCTGAAAGTGTTATTTCAGTTATTCCCATAACTGGCATGGGTGGTTTAGGAAAAACAACTCTAGCTAAAGCCGTTTACAAAAATGAGCAAATTGTTGGACATTTTGACCAAACAATGTGGGTTTGTGTGGCTGAAAAAGTAGATAGAATCGAGGTGGTCTTCAAAATGATTCTAGAATCGTTGATAGGAGGAAAGGTTGAAGGGGATCGTAGGGAGGAAATAGTTAAAAAAATTCAGCATGAACTCAAGGAAAAAAGATATTTCCTTGTTCTTGATGATGTGTGGAATGATCAAGAAGAATTGTTGAATGACTTTTTCAGCACTTTGGCTGGACTCAATGCGCAGAAAGGGAGCTGGTGTCTTGTTACTTCTCGGCTGCAAAAAGTGGCAATTATTCTGTCTAGACATCCGCAGATCAATTTTACTCGCCATGAGCTAGGAAAGCTATGCGATGATGATTGTTGGTCTATCATGAAAAAATGGGCAAATGTGGCGGAAGAAGTACCAGAAGACATAAAGGAGCAAATTTTAAGAAGATGTGACGGTCTACCTCTGGCAGCAAGGTTAATTGGAGGTTTGTTATCTAGAAAGAGAGAAGAGAATTGGCAATCTATTTTGGAGGAGAGTCTCTTGAATGGAGATCAGGGTGGGATCGAGCAAATACTTAAGGTGAGTTTTGATCATCTGTCACCTGCACCGGTTAAGAAATGCTTTGCATATTGCTCAATATTTGATCAAGATACTGAATTGGAACAAGATCTACTAGTTGAGCTTTGGATGGCTGAAGGCTTTCTTCAACCGGATTCCCAAAATGAAAGAATGATGGAGAAAATAGGATACGAGTATTTGAGAATTTTGCTGCAAACTTCCTTATTGGAAGAAGTAAAATGGGGGAGGAGAACATGGTATAAAATGCATGACCTTGTGCATGATTTTGCAAAATCAATTTTGAATCGTAACAGCAGCAATCAGGACCGTTACCTTGCCGTATACTCATCCGAAAGAATGGTAGAAACCATCAATGCAAAACCATCAGCATCACTTCGCACATTATTTCTGAAGGGTGGCATAGCTGATGATATGTTATCAAAGTTCAAATACTTGCATGTCCTAAAATTGTTTGGAGCAAATGCCAAAGAGTTGCCGACCTCCATTGGCAAACTAATACATTTACACTTACTTGACATTTCAATTTCTATGATTACAACTTTGCCAGAATCTCTTTGCAAACTTTACTGTTTGCAAACACTGAGAATTGGCAAGCTTGAAGAAGGTTTTCCAAAGGAGATGAGCAATTTGATTAGCATGAGACATCTTCACTATAATGATTTTTTTACAGAACACAAAATCCAAATGCCATCCCGGATTGGACGATGGACTTGTCTTCAAACATTAGGGTTCTTTAACATTGGTCGTCAGGAGGAAGGTCGTGGTATCCAAGAACTTGGAACCTTGCAAGATCTTAAAGGCTCCTTGGAGATCAGAAATCTTGAATTAGTAAATGGCAAAGATGATGCTGAACTAGCGAACCTATCTAAAAAGCCAAATATGTATCAGTTGGTGTTTGAGTGGGGCAATAGGGATGAGGAAAGTGATAAATGTGATGAAGATGTGTTGGAAGGCCTCCAACCTCACCCAAATCTAAAAGAGTTACAAATTTTGAAGTTCATGGGTGATCAGTTTCCACAATGGTTCATGAATTTGACATTGACATCACTGGTGGAGTTGCGGGTGGAGGATTGCACAAGATGCAGCAAGCTCCCAGCACTAGGACAGCTGCCATTCCTCAAGTGCCTCTATCTGACTGGATTGGAAAACACAACATGCATTGGGCTTTCATTCTACAGTACAAGTGCTGAGGAGGACGGCGGATCAGGAGGTTCAAGCACTATTAGCAGACAAACATTCTTTCCGGCCCTTAAATTTCTCTCTCTTGAAAGGTTGGACAATTTGAAAGAGTGGAAGGACGCACACGAAATGAGGTCAACCGCAGATGAAGTACATGTGATGGATGTGTTTCCCGTGCTGGAAACACTGTATATTAGTGATTGCCCCCAGCTGACCACCATTCCAACTCCAAGTCGCTTCCCAAGTCTTGATGTATTGGAAATCAAAGAGAATTGCCATGTTTTGCTGGTAGAAAAGGTTTTGAGCAATATAACCACACTCTCGTCCCTTGAATTATGTGGTCATCGTCAACGCATCGAGTCTCTAAATTTTGTGAAACGACCAGAGAGTAGCTTGAGTATTGATGGCTGTGACAGTCTACCCACTGACATGCTTGTGCGACTCTGTCTTTTTCCAACTCTTCAGCGTGTAGAATTGAGATTTGCCAATAATATAACAACATTAAGAGGAATGAGTTGCGCCGCTTGTCTTAAGAGATTGGCAGTCTTTTACTGTGATAATTTACGGGAGTTGCCAGAAGATTTTTATCAATTTCAAGCTTTAGAGTACTTGATGATACGGAGTTGCCCGAGAATTAATTCATTTGGATATCCAAATCCTAAAAATTCATTTGGACAGAAAAGCCTCCTTAAGTCTCTTGAGCAATTTACTGTCGAAGGGTGCAATGCATTAACAAGATTACCAGCGGAAATGTTCGAGTCCTGTACGTCTCTCCGAGAGCTGACTTTGTTCGATTGCCCCAGTCTGGTCTCCTTTCCCCTTGATTTGCGACGAACCCCTTCTCTCGAGAGCTTCAGTTTACGGGGGTGTCCCAACTTGATAGCTGAGATGCCTAGTGGATTTGGCTATCTTACCAGCTTAAGGGAAGTGAAGATTGGCCCCTTCTCAGATTACTCTGTAATCGAATTTGATTGGGCTGGATTGGCATCTTCATCTACACTCCAGTGCTTGGCTTTAGATGGGATGCCTGACACGAAATCTCTGCCACTTCAGCTTCAAGACTTGACTACCATCACATCACTGTTTCTAAATTACTTCGGAGCAATCGAAGCCTTACCAGATTGGCTTGAGAACCTTGCATCTCTTGAATACCTACGCCTGGGGGATTTTCCAAAGCTTGAATATTTACCCTCTGCGGCTGCCATGGAACGCCTCAAATTAAGATGTCTGCGAGTTAGTAATTGTCCTCTATTAACCGAAAGATGCACTCCTCAAAGCGGCTCCGAGTGGCACAAGATCTCTCATATTCCAGAGCGTGAAATTCATTAAAAGTCATCTTTCTAAGCCATCCGGTAAGATTTCGCTGCAAAATTTTGATTAATTGCTTCTCATCATTGGATATCGCTGTTCTTCACCATCTTATTCTATCCGTATTTGTCCCTCACTCTTTTTCTATCTAATAATTATCTGTTCCTCTACTTCTTCTGGTGAAGATTACTTTCTCTTTCAATTTATAAACTAAATCTTTTCATTAACTTAACAAAGTAGTGTTACGAGCAAATTGAAAGACAATAAAAATTGTGAATTTCATCTGCTTTTCTGAACCATCAAAAGGATTAATAAGCATGGTAAAATTCACTACCATATATGACTATTTGTCCACGAAATTCACTAATTTTTTCTGACACTGACATTTCCAAACAACATTAAAACCAATAAAGTAGCATCTTATTTAGATTTTATACTCTCTCATAAAATATATTACGAGGCTGCTATGTGTAAATCAACCCTTGAATTTGCTTGATACGTCAACCTCATGAATGGGATTGTAGACACTGCAGAAGACGTGAAGCTGCTGAAGCAAATGGGGTGATCAAGGGTCCTCTCATGGATGATGAAATTGCTGATCAATTCAATGGTATAAAAAGATGTTACGCGGGCTCAGATCAGAACTCCAACATTGAGGTTGCCATTGACAAAGTTAACGACTTCTACATCAAGAAACTTTTGGCCGTGACGGTTAGACGGTAGAAGGAGGACTTGTATGCTTCATGGAAATGTCTGGCCGTGGTTTCCACTGTGGCGCTGCTGGTCGTACTTAGCATGCAGACGTTTTGCGAGTTCTATCAATGCAGCAAAGTCTGGAACTTCAACAAGTATCATCATGATCATCTCTATCAGCACCAGCAAGTAAAATGTCTGTTTTAATTAATTAACAGAGAAATATATGTTTTATTTATTTATTTATTTATTTTTCTTTATCATTATTTTTTGTTCATATCTTTATTAATTTATTGTTTCTCAAGGAAGGGGTATTCATATCTAGAAAAAGTGAAAAGAAAGATATACTTGTATACTGATTCTGTCTCGTTTAATTGTGTATTTTATCAATCCACTGGACCAAGATATGACTTTAGACTACCTGGAATTGGGTGTTGCTCTTCTAGTATCAGTACAATGTTAAGCAAAGCCTAGCATGATACACCACTGAAATCTGGAATGTTATGTATTTGTTACTTTGTAATTATTAATCAGATTATGCTCCTCAAGGTTGGCATTATAAAATTTAATACCAATATCTTTTTAAACTTTAGATGGAATTAATTTTTAAATATTACTGTATAATTTTGATAAAATATAATTTTGATAAAATGAAACTAATATGAAATCTAAATTTTTGTGTGTGTATGAGAGAGTATATATTTTATCTACATTTTTTAGTCAGCCGGGAACCTCTAAAGTATCTTATTGCACTTTTCATATTCTCCAACTGCAACATCAGGCTATGGTTTCCAATCGTTTTTGAAGAAAGATGAGGAGGTATGTGGTTTGGAAATGTCTCCACCCAACTTACTAGAAGTACAAGAAAATTGGTCCAAGTTTGCAAGTATGTTTGAGTCATGTAATTGTGCCTAAATGTAGGGTGGCATTTGCACTAGTATGTGTTCTTTATGGCTTAATCAATGGAATTTAGCTTAATTTTTACTCTTTAGGATTTTGAGTGATAAATTGTTGCACCAATTACCAGATCAAACCTTTCTGTGGCTCATGTTTCTATTTGGTGTCATAATTGAAGTAGCACTGTGGTGTAATATTGTGATTTTTTTTCCAGAATTTGTTTAGGAAGCAGAGGTCATGGTTTTTTGACAAAGAACACCAAGGTTCCCGTGTTGTTCTTATGAGAATGGCAAGAGGGAGAAGTTATTTTCACTTATTAGTCAGATTTTGAAGATGGAAGGTAGTTATTTGTGGTTTTTCCCACCAGAATGCCATATATTGCTCAGAATGCAGAAATGAAGGTAAAAATTGTTGATTGCAGGTCTATTGGCCGATTTCAATGGCTTTTTTTTAAAATCTATTTTCTAGAAGTGTTTAACAAAATAAATCAAACACTGAACCTTTTCTCCTTGTAGTATGCTGAAAACAGAATGGCTTGTGCCAGGCTTGTAGAAAGTAATGTGGATGGAGAAGAAGTAGAGGGGAGCATGGTAGCTAGTACTAGAGAGCTATCAAGATACAAGACTTGCTTGAAGAAAACTAGACATGCTGATACTTTAGTTCCAGAGGTGAGAAGATTTGATGGAAAGAAGTTAGACATTGTAGACAGCATTGGTGATCGTTTGGACAACATAAACGAAGCGTGCGATTGCAGTGTCAGTCGTTCATTTGGATGGAAATAATTCAAAGTTTTGGTGCTGCAATTGTAGATGCAAGAATTTCTACATCCTTGTTCAAAGGTTCCTGCCAGATCTTGCAAGGCCTTTGTAAATTGGACAATGGGTTATACCTTTCCACTCAAGAACAAGAGAGACTCATGGTACAACTATGCTAACAGTTAGTCATTCTGGGTACCAGGCTCAGTGTTGAATTTGTTTTAGTAAAATAACGAACCCTAAGTACCATCTTGGTTCTTACCTAACTTAATTATTTTGACATGTCTACTTTAAGTAAATAGTCACAATCCAAAAATTTGCAGTTTGAATGATCAATAAACAGGTTTTGTTATTGTAGCATTCTATCTGTTTTGTTTTAGCTAAGAAAGACTAGCAAACCTCAAAAAAATTTATAATTATTAAGAAACCCCCTTCAAATATGTAACATTTTAGAAGACTAATGAAGGTGGGAGATCAATGATAAATGTTTCTCATGAAGTTCTTCAACATGGTTTCACCTAATTAGAGGTATTTTGCCACAAAGTATCCACTTGTTAGGTTAGATGAGCATGTTCCAGCATGCTCACTCAATAAAAGTTGATAAGTTACTCTTAAGAATTGAAGGAAGAAGGAAATTACTTGCCAACACTAAAAAGATATTGACATCCATTACCTATTTCTTTCTGAAAACGGTTGTCCTTTTCAGATTTTTGTTTGGCCCAAAGATTTTAGTCTATCAGGAGAAATCAGTCAGCTAAAAGAAGTCAATCAGAAAATTTATGAATGTCAGTACATGAATATAAATTTAGAAAATCGTTCAAAACGTCGGCGCATCCTCATAATTGTAAATGACTTTTTTCGTCCCTTATTTTTAAAAGCTGTACTTTTATGTCCCTGTACAAATTCACTTTTGTCAAATTTGACGTCCTTATCTTAGGTTTCTAACTAGTTTTTAGGTCGGAATTACATCATATGCCGTGCCTTGCATATGATCATTTGTTAGAGACAAAATTTCAAAACAAAATTTACATAATCCATCTATAGTTCCTTACATTTCACAAAAAAATTGTTTCGCTCCCTCACATCTTCATAAAATTGAATTTTTGCATCTCGCATTTGACCACGTGTTACGCAATAGTTGTTTTTTTTTTTTTTAAATTCATGTGTATATCTATTTGATTTCATCTAAACAGTACAAATAATATATAATATATCTCTATTTGAATTTTCAGCAACAACGAGGTGTACAATGCGGAGATGACTGTTGTGATGGCGAGTCGAAGTTCAAATTACTGCTTGTAAGATTTTTCTCTAAATATATTTTTTTATCTGGTTTTCTTTTAATTTGCAGAATTAGGTAACATTTTCCCAATGTATATCTACAAGCTCATTACTTATTTCTTTTTTCTTTCTCTAATTTCTGTCATCATAAGAAAAGGAATGTTTAAGTTTCACAGTTTGAGGTACCTCCTCTTATATGCTCTGACCCAAGGGCTAATCATGATATTTTATCTGTTTACCTGCAGGGGCCGTGGATATCTTGTTCCAGACGATGTCTACAAGGTTATAGTACTGTTTACTATGATTGTTAGGTGTAAGTTTCACAATACAATTGGATAAATGTTTGAGTTCTGATGATATTCTTTTATTTACTCATGAGGTGATCTGAACTGCACCCTCCCCTCCCAAAAAGAAAAAGGCTAATTAAGATGGAGATTGAGCAAACTTCATGTATGTTACCTTCTATTTTATATACAATATCCAGTTTCTCTTAGAACGGTGAGGATTTATATGCATATAGCAAACTTGTTATCTTTGAAGTACTCTGATGCTCAACTGATTTGTGTTTTTTAATGATCTGAACAGTGTGTGTTTCAATGATTTGACACTCAACCGATTTGTGTCTTAATGATCTCACACTTTGACACTCAACTGATTTGACTTGTTATCTAAATCTCCAGTTTCTGAACACTTATCATGATTTGTGTTTTAATGATCTGAGGTTTCGGAGCCAACTTGCACTTGATGTGCTCTGACTAATTTTTACCTAGAGTTTACTTGTGCTTTATGTGCTCTGACTAATTTTTTCCTTTTCAATTGTAATTTGTAGAGTTTTGATCAGAAGAGGAGTGGAAGATTTAGGCTGGATGGCTTTATATCACTCTGTATATTTGTACAGTCAGCGCAGTAGGTAGAATCTTAATTTCTTATACGATGTATTTTGATTGACCAGTTAGACTTATTAGCTTCATGAAAATGTCAGAAAAGTACCTTGCTGAAGGTATTAAAAAATGTTGTGCTCATAAATCATTTATCATTGATGTAGTCAGCTGCTTGTAAATCCCTTGCTTGCTTTAAGCTGCGAGGACTGGATCCAGAAATTTGTATCTGTTTGTGAACTGCTTTAGAGACCATTAGAGTACGGATCTAAGCTGTTTTTCTTTCTTATTTCTGATTATTTGATTGTCTAAACCATCAGAACCTATCCATTCACTATATACAGTGTGTACAGACTAGGAATTCATTATTGGCTAAGTTATTATTGTACAAGCTTCTCTGGCCTCCAAACTCCAAATACGAAAATTCGCTGAGAAGATAAGAGCAACAGCCATGATGAAAGGATTATTTTTACTACCATTACTTCGTTACAAGGAATAAAGGACAATTCATGAGGTCCCAGAATCCGTCTTCTGCTTTGTTTAGTAGTGCCGCCAAGGCATGTGTTGTCTTTGTAGATTCCATGAAGTACTACGACATTTTTACAGTCTTTGGTTCTGAATTTCCAATATAACAAATTTCTTTTTTTAAAAAAAATTTAATGGTCCCTCTATCCACTTTGATAACAAAATTAATTAATTATTCCTAAATTATTGGGTTGCAATCACTTGTTTATGCCAAGTTCTAAATAATTATATACAAATGAGAGATAAATTTGTTCATTTCATTATAATTTTGCTCTGTCTACGTATATTAAATATGTATATTAATTAAAATAAAAAAATGATATTTTGTATTTGTTTGTCTCTTATTGATAATTTTGTTTCTTAATTTTAAAAAAAGGTTAGATTAGGTAGACTTTGATTTATATCGTATGTAATTGCATTTACTTATACCTGATGACATTTGATCTTGTATGTATTAATGAATTATAATATTGTATATAATTTTTTTTGTTGTATATTAATATGTTTTAGGTATTACTGATTATAACTATTAAATAGTTATTG